GGAGGAGGAGGAGATGGAGGAGGAGGAGCGGGGAAGGCTCATGTTTGTGCAGCTGTCCTTCTTCGATGGAAGGCCACCCAGATCGCTATGCCCCCCCGGCGCGCGCCGCTGACTATCGACGCGCGTGCCTCGTCTTTTGGGGGACGTGCACTTCCGCGCAACCCTCGGCTCCCACGCTTTGTGGCCCCGTGGGCGTTCAGGCTCCCGGCCTCCTCCGCTGCAGCCGCTTCTGCCGGTGCGCCCTCTCGCGCTCCCTCCTCGACATCTCCTCCTCCAAGAGGACACCAACCACACGCCGACTCAGAACTGGGGGGGGGAGGGGAAGGTAGCGAAAGGGGGCTGGGGGGCGCCCAAGAGGGGGGCGCCCAAGAGGGGGGCGTCCAAGAGGGGGCTTCGCGAATCATGACCCGAGGCATCCGCGCGGACGAGGGGGGAGGACCCGGAGACGTACATATTTGAAATACGAAGAGGGGGGCATGAAACCTGGGGGGATATCATAGCCTCGGCCATAATGTCCAACCTGGCCATGATGTCCCCGCCCCCCCCCCTATTGTCGCCATCACCCCCTGTTGGCCGTCCCCGAGCTCCGCGCGGCTGGATTCCCCAGCGACTCGAGGCACCGGACACGGGTGCGTATCGAGGAGGGTGCCAGGCAGCGGGGCTGAGCAAGCTGCATGCTGCAGAGTTCGTTCCCCCGCGCTTCCCGGACCCCCCCCCCCGCACAGGCCTCCGAGGTTGAGACTCCTGCAACACGCGGCCCCACCGAGCTCTCCACCCCTTCCCCAGGGACGGCGCCACGTGCCGAGCCCACTCGTCCCTGCCCTGGGCCAGAATGGGAGCCAGAGCACTGGGGCCGAAAACATCACGACGTCAGAGGCCAGAACGTGGGACCCCCCCCCCCCCCAGTGAGCCTGGCTGGCCCCGGCCCCTTCCCGGGCCCAGGGCTGGCGCACCGCTCCTGCCGGGCCCGCCTGTGCACACCCGTCCCCCCGGGCCCAGGCGGGGCCCCCGGGCCCTCTCGATGCTGAGCTCCCGCGGGGGCCAGGCGCCTGTCTTGCTGTCTCCCGCGAGAACGGCAGTCACTGGCCCCGCGCCCCGCCCCGACCCCCCCGGGGGGACATCACGTTCCGCGCCGGCGGCGTCCAGGAATGCCTTGGGATGGCCGGGGCCAAGTAGGAGCAGCATCTGGGTGGCGATCTGCAAAACAAAGCCCGTGTGCACAGCAGTGCTCGCGTGCACCACAGCGCGCATGTGCACCACAACGCCTGCGTGCGCCGCAACAGCCGTGTGCACCGCAGCGCCTATGTACACCGGTGTTTACGTGCACCTCGGCGCCTGTGTACACCACAGCGCCCATGTACACCGCAGCAGCCGTCTGCAACACAGCGCCTATGTACATCACAATGCTGGCGTGCACAGCAGCGCCTGTGCACACCACAGTGCCTGTGTACACCACAGCATCCGCGTGCAACACAGCGCTGGTGTACATCACAGCGCCTGCGTGCAAAGGACAAATAGAAAGAGCATGTAGGTCAGGATCTGCTGCGGACAGCTAAACACCACGCAAGGGCAGTGCTGATAATAGAATGCGATGTTCTTCCCTCCTCCTCCTCCTCCTCCGCCTCCTCCTCCTCGTCCATATCATCGTCCTCTTCCTCCTCCTCCTCCTCCTCCTCCTCCTCCTCCTCCTCCTCCTCTTCTTATTATTATTGTTCTTCTTATTATTATTCTTCTGATTATTATTATTCTTATTATTCTTCTTATTTATTTATTATTATTGTTCTTATTCTTCTTCTTATTATTATTACTTCTTCTTCTTAATATTATTATCCTTATTATTATTAGTATTCTGCTTATTCTTATTAGTATTAGTCTTATTACTCTTCTTCTTATGCTTCTTATTATTATTCTTATTAGTCTTATTATTCTTCTTATTCTTCTTCTTATTCTTAATATTATTATTATTCTTCCTCCTCCTCCTCCTCCTCCTTCTCCTATGTTTATTCTTAGTGTTATTATCATGGTTCGTAATATTATTCATGTTCAGAGTATTCAATATTGCCACTAGTGTTAGCATTATCCCAAGTCTTATGATGCGCAATATTCATATTTTCATTGGTATGATTATGATTCGTTGTATCATGTCAGTAGTAGTAGTAGTAGTAGTAATGATATTAGTTATTATGATAATAATAATAACAACAATAATGATAATAATAAGAATAATGATACTAATAAGACTACGAATAATAATAGTAGTATTATTAATACTAGAAACAATAATAATAATGTTAACACTGGTTGTAGTCTTCGTACTCTTCTCATAAGTAACCACTTTGTCTTTCTGAATCGTATTAGTAGCATCATTCTTAATAATGTTATTAGTAATCGTATGATAGTCGTATTCGTCTTCTGCTCCTTATTCGCATCCGCATTATGCTGAGTAGTGTTCATATTCTTCTACATGGTCTTAATACTGCTTTCCTTAGTTTCTTATGTTCCTTATTACTCTTAATATGAATGTTAATGTTCCTCCTCCTCCTCCTCCTCCTCAACCTCTACCGCCTCCTCCTCCTCCTCCGCTCCTCCTCCGCCCTCCACCGCCCTCCTCCTCCTCCTCCTTCTCCTCCTCCTTCTCTTCCTCCCCCTCCTCCTCCTCCTCCTCCTCCTCCTCCCCCTCCTCCTCCTCCTCCTCCTCCTCCCCCTCCCCCTTCTCCTCCTAATCCTCCTCCTTCTCCTTCTACTCCTCCTCCTCCTCCTTCTCCTTCTCCTCCTTCTCCTCCTCCTCCTCCTCTTACCTCACCCCCCGTCGTGCGAATCGGCGCTACAACGCATCATCACATCTCAGCGCGCATCCCGGAAACATGGTCTATTGTATCAGTCCGCTTGGTTCTCGCACGGCCAACTCTGCAGGAGCCTTCTGGACGCAGACGGGAGGAGTAAGGATGATAACGGGAGGACTCGGGAGGAATCGTAGATTTCAGAAGCGCTTCTTTCCAAAAGGATTCCTTCCCAAATCCTATATAAAACAATGTTGTTCTGTGGAATCCACAAGCGCTCCATTTTGTCATAAGGATTCCGTATAGAATTCTCTATGCAACAATAATGTTCTGTTGCACACGGCTGATGTGGTACACACAGGCGCCGTGGTGTATACAGGCGCTGTAGTGCACGCCAGCACTGTGGTTTACACTGGTGCTGTGTTGCACAAGGCTGCTTTGGTTTACGCAGACGCTGTGGTGGACACAAGCGCGTGGTACATGCAGACACTGTGGTGCACACAGGCGCTGTGTTGCACGCGGCTGCTGTGGTGTACATAGGCGTCGTGGTGTACACGGGCGCTATGGTGCACGCAGCACTGTGGTTCACACAGGCGCTATGGTGCAAATCGCCACCCACATGCTGCTCCTACCCGTCCTCGGTCATTCCTAAGCATTCCCAAACGCCGACGGCGCTGAAGCGAGATCCGCGTTTTGACAAGGAACCGCCCTCCATCCGTGAAACTCTTGCAGGCTTTTAGGACAAAATCTGCTCGGAGCAGTTCGAAAATGGCCCGCTCTCAGGTTGCCAACTTGTGAGACGAAGGCGCGCGGCGCCAAAGCGAGAGCCACATCCTCAGAAGGACGCACCCTCCGCCCGTGCCACTGCCGCCACGTTGCACCTCCAGGATCACAAAATGGTGAGGACCTCTCGGGCGAAACGCCTGGCCCGCCCCACCGACACACCCCGGGGTGCGACGGGGAAGAGTGATCTGCACGGAGCAGGAGCGGAGCGGAGTGAGGAGAGAGGGGGGGGAGAGGAGGCGGACGAGGGAAGGGGGAGGTGGGCAGGCTCTGTCGGGAGGTACATCCCCCCCTGAGAAATACTCCATCCCAGGGAACCCCAAAGATACCGATTCCGCTACTCCCCAGACCTCTCCCGGGGTGCGTTCTGACTGGGATTGCGAGGCGAACCCAGCGGTGGCGACGACGGCCTCCGTGGAGGCCCAAGAAGAGGAAAAACGGGCGAAGGGTACAGGTATGGGTTATGTTGTTCCCGTCGTACTTAAAGTCCACATCCCAGAAATAATTTCGAGCACCCAGACAAGTATTACAAGAGCGTCGAACGAGCATCGCCTCCCAGGGCCCGACCCGTGGAAACCCTCCGGTTTCGGCAGTACTTTCTTGGTGCTCGAAGTTATTTCTGGCGATCAAGACTACGGTAGGTGGAACATCAGCTAGGGGTACGTTTTCCATCCCTGACATCCACAGCAGGGCCCTGCAGGGGGCCTCCAAGGAGCCCCCAGAAGCCCACTGCCGCCCCTCGCCTCCGCGCCTCCGCGCCTCCCCGCCTCGCGCGAGGCGCGCGATTTTTTACCGCCGCGCCCTCGCGCCGTCGGTGCTGGAGAGGGACGAATCTCCGGGCCCGACCGCGGAGCGGCGCGCGACGCGCCAGGAGGAAACCGACTCGCTCCTCCTCCTCCTCCTCCTCCTCCTCCTCCTCCTCCTCCTCCTCCTCCTCTCCCTCTCCTCCTCCTCATCCTCCTTCCTCGTCGTCCTCCTGCCCTCCCCCCCTCCTCCTGACCCTCACTCCCTCCTCCTCCCCTCCTCCTCTCCTCCTCCTCCTCCTTTTTCCTCCTCCTCCTCCTCCTCCTCCTCCTCCTCCTCCTCCGCCTCTCCTCCATCCTCCGCCTCCTCCCTCCTTCCTCCTCCTCCGCCTCCTCCCCTCCGCCTCCTCCTCCCCCCCACCCTCCCCCTCCTCCTCCTCCCTCCTCCTCCTCCTCCTCCTCCTCCTCCTCCTCCACCTGCCCCCTTCCTCCACCTGCCCCCCTTCCTCATCCTGAGGGCGGGGGCCTGGCCAGCTGGGGCGTCGCCTCCAGGACGAAAAGCAAGCCAGGGGGAAGCCCTGGGGTTCAAGGCCCGTTTTCCTTCGGGCCCGCTCTCCCTCAAGGCACTTTGGTGTCGGCGCATTGCTGGCGTCCCCCGGTCCTCTTCCTCTTCGCGCCGTCTCCGGCCTCTCCTGCGGGGTCCAGAAATCTGGCGCCTGTGCCCGTCTCCCTCCGTCCCACTCCGCGGCCTCGTCGTCGTCGTTCTGCTCAGGCTCATGCTCATGATTCATCTCACACTTACACTCCTAATCGCAATCGCACTCGTGTTTACGCGTGCTCCTACTCCTGATCCTACCCCGAGTCGCACCCCACCCAGCCTCCCCACTCCACCCACTGAATACGAATGCGAATGCGGATATCATTATGACCAGAACAAGGCCAGAGGGTTATTTGGTAGTCTTTGTTTTGCTATCTGGGGCCCCAGTGCGTTTACACTAGCACCTACTGCTGTAGAGGGACGTGACGTTTGCACGCAGGCCACCAAAAGGAGCATAGAGGTTGTAGCTCTGCTAAACCAACTGTTGCCGACGGTTGTTCGTGCATGAGGTGAACTAGAAAGCGCGTGATGACAACGCCGAGGATGGTAGCATCGAATCTCCCCCTACTGCATGAAAGCATGAATTGATCGCAGCGGTACCTTTTTTTTCTAAGTAGGCCCTTGAGGCAGAACGTCGCAGCGGTACCGACTAACACCAACGACTTTGGGCAAAAAGCGGTTGGTAACTCAGGCAGCGTTTCCACCCCCTTCGTACTTTGCGCTTTACTGCTCAGCACACGGTTCCTTCAGGGGCAGGCCCATCCACAAGCTGCGTCTTTCTGCATGTGCCCCCCACACCCACCCGAACGTCCCAGAGGAGAACATCCCGCACCTGCAGTAGTGGCACTGCAATGCGCAGCGAGCATCGCATGGGCACGCCGTAGCACTATTTTTCACTACGATTACCCACAAACTCTCAAACACTCAGATCCAACCATGGACCTCCCTCATTATCCACCCTACTATCTGGCAATGGCCCATGATGGCTCGCAGCACGCGTGTCACCTGGCACAGCAAACTTGCACCGAATCCGCCGATCCAGCGCGAGTCAAAAGCAACCCGAGATTCAGTTCAGCTCTGCTGGGGGGGGGGAGGGGGGCTATGCCAGGAAGGGGGGGGAAGGAGGGGGGGGGCGTGTACGCACCAAATCCCCAACCCAGGGACTCATTTTGTGATTGATTTGCCCATCCCGAATACGTTGGGGGGGAAGGTCCCAGGGACCCCGGAAAATCTAGCCGGGGGACCCTCCAGGGAACCCCCCCAGGGGACCCCCCCCGGGGACACCCCCCCCCCAGGACCCCCCTCTTGGGCAACCACCTGGGGGGCACGAGCGCCCGGGATCGGCGGTCCTGGGCAGATGCCACTCAAACTAATCACTCACGAAATCGGGACGGAAACGCACACCCTGCACGCGCCCTCACAGCAGTGATCGAAAGCTGGCTGGACAGCTCGCGAAGGACGTGGGCCCGACGCAGATGACAAGGGCACCGATAGAGGAGGAGGAGGAGGAGGAGGAGGAGGAGGAGGAGGAGGAGGATAGGAGGAGAGAGGAAGGAGAGTAGGAATGAGGACGATGAGAGGAGAAGCGAGAGCACGAGGAGCAAGCGAAGACGAGGAGGAACAAGGACAAGGAGGAGCGTCAAAGAGAGCCAAGGCGGAGGGAGGAGAGAGAGGACGACTACGACGACGAGGCAGGAGGACCACGAAAGGAGAACAAAGGAGAGAGGAGAGGAGGCGGAGACTGAGGAGGAGGAGGAGGACGAAGAGGAGTAGGAGGAGGAAGAGGAGGAGAAGAGGAGGGGGAGGGGGAAGGGGAGGGTAGGAGGGAAGGAGGAGGTGGAGGAGGAGGAGGAGGAGGAGGAATGAAAATGAGAGGAGGGCGGGGTGAGGAGAGGAGGAAGGAGGAGAACCGAGGAGGAGAGAGGAGTAGGAGGATGAAACAAAGGAGGGAGTTGATGGAAGTAGGAAGAGGAGGAGGAGGAGCTCTGCGGAGGAAAAGGGAAAGAAGGGGGACGAGGGAGGAGGAGGAGAAGGAGGAGGAGGAGGAGGAAGAGGGGGGATGGAGGAAAAGGAGGTGGGGCGCTCACCTTCCCGTGTGTCTGTGTTTCGCTGGTCGCCTCGGGTGAGAAAGGGTGGAGTTAAATGTCGATTATACTGAATCACGTGTTACTAGCATGGCCAGCCGACATTCGGGCACAGCCTCGGGATACACGATCCCTCCTGCAGGGGAGACAAGGCGAGAAAGCAAGACGGCAGAGCAGGGAAAAGAGAAACACAACAGACGATGCAGGGACGGACAAGAAAAGAGGTGAACCACCTCATCTCCCCCGACCGCACAGCACCCGAACCGGCACATGCCAGTTCCCTTTTCGGGACCTGTGGGTGGTGGACCAGGCAATGCAAATAGTACGGAAATTGGCGCTCGCGATACAGGGGACAAGCCTACAGTTTGCGATCAGCTGACATATCAGCACACGATCACGGACAGCGGGGGCTCAGACCGAAAGTACCTCACGCGCCTCAGAAGATCAGGAACACGGGAAGGGGGAGGGTGCCTCAACCGAAGGAAATTGTATGTATTTCACTGCTGCCCAATAGTACCAGGGTCCCCAAGAGCGGGAGCGATCGCTGCAATCCCCTTTCCAAATTTGCATAAGGATATGCGCGAACGACTGCCCCCACCAAGTGGGGAAACGGGGGACGAAGAGCACAGCGGCATCGGGGACTGCATTGAACATGGGGTAGAAACGTGCCATTGCATCACTAGGATCGAAGCGGCACGAAACATGGCAGCACGAACAGAATTGACCAGATCCCTGGGCTCGGCCGCCACTCCAACATCCCCAATCCCTCGCAGAATGGAACTGGGGATTGCATGGCGCGGCGCGCAGAGTGTGCCCAGTGGCCGTCACGTGCTTGGTGACTGGGTCGACTTGCCAGACGCGAGAGGAGGGCAGGACGACCAAAGACATCATAAGCACGAGAGTTGTGAACGAGCGAAAGAGAAAACGAGCGAACATGAGATTTACGATTAAGCAAGCAGCTTGGCACACGGGCCCCCCCGGTTCTCACCGCATCTTCCAGGGCCCAAGAACACGCCAAGGTATTTCCCACGAGGAAGAAACTTGACCTCCCGAACGTTCAGTCCCATAATCCGAAAATTACGCACGGTTCCCGAAGGGTCCAGAAATCCAGGAACGACAGCAACACACTTGTCGAGGTTCAGACAAAGCTCGGCACCGACGGCACTCTGAACCACCCAGGCAACAATGACGGGCAAAGAAAGGCACACGTCGCGAAAGGCACACGCAAAGTCATCGGCAAGAGAGAAGAGGCGGGCAGGATGTAAGGCAATACGCTGGTCCAGCGCACACACGACAGGGTCAATCGCCAAGATTAAAATAAGCCCTGCGATAGGACACCCTTGCTCCACACCTCTCCGCACGGCCCAGCCTGCAAACTTCCCTCGACAAAGCAAGAGATCCACTTCGATATCGGAATACAGAAACACAGCTGCCTGAACGATGTGACCAGGGAACCACATCCCCTCGAGCATCTGGAGGCCCCACCCATGGTTGAAGGAGGAAAAGCCGCGGCAATGCCCAGAAAGAGGGAACCAGCATTGGGGTATCCACGCCAGACACACCACCCCAGGATCACATATTCAAGACCGACGATAATGCCCATAATATTTCGTCCACAGCCGAAACCTAAAGCAGACTGCAGAGCCATATGCTGCGCTTGTTGCATAAGAGGAACGCGCAGGCACGATGTGAACATCTCGTTGTCGGCACTGCTCGTTGGAAGTGCCCGAGTCTGCTTGGGCTCAAGGATAGCACCCCCGTCGTCGCTGAACTCCTGCTGAGGAAAAACGATTGCATCACCGCGGTTGAAGCCGGCAGGGGGGTTCTGGTAGCCCGGGCAAGCTTCATGCCCGCGGATTTGAATCCGACGAACACGATTACTGGTGAACTTCCAGGCACCATAGGGAACTCTGTCGGGACCAGGGGCACAGCCATAACACCCACGAAGGCCATAAAGTCAGTAGCGAAATCGGTCCTAGGAGTACGAGGGGGAAGACGCCGCCGAAACTTGCCACCACCTGGAGGCACGAGACACCACGCGCGAGACTGAGGCCATTCACGGGCCCCCAGTGGCTAGCGGGGTTCGCGGCAGATGGTTCAATTGATTTCGGGGCACTACAACCAGGGCCACCAACAGCGAAATTGGTGGACTTCCAACGGCTGGGAGACCAAGCTTGTTCATCGATTGAATATACGCGGACGCTCACAGATGAGTCGAGTTCGCCATCTCAGAGCAGGCGGCGAATTCGACGACCAGGTTGTTCTTATTTGTCGCCCTCATTTCTTGCCACGAGGGCCCCAACCTACTCCCCGAGAGAGGCGGGCCCGCGAATGGTCGGGCAAGTTATCGGGCGCATCGCCGGGCAAATCACGGGGCCGATCATCGGGCAGAAAGGTGGGCATGTCATGAAGCATGTCGACGGGCATGAGGTTTGGGGGGGGGGGGGGCCAACAAACAATGCCGCCCCCCTGGCTCCCCCCCCCCCCCCCCGCGCTCATCAGAGTTGTTCGGTCACGTCGAGGCCAACGCGGCCGCGGCTCCGGAGCAGCACCGAGCCCCCTAGAACCCGTGAGACTCGTTTTAATTAGCGAACACCGTTTGCTCCAAGTCATAGCACCCCCCCGAAATACACGTCGCGCCCACGCACTGCCTCAGGATGTCTGTCTCTTCGGCCAACACGAGCCGCGCGCATGAACCCCCGAAGTACCACAGTCTCCTGGGGGACATTTCAGGGCCAGTACTTGAAATAACGTATTTGTTAGAGAACCCCGATCACAACATACGTCATGGCCTTGACATCTTCAATGGCCTGGTATGGGATCGGGGTAAACATCTAGCTCGTCCAACATCCGATCTAGTAAGACAGAAAAGTCAAGGCGCCACGCTCGCCATCGCGGACATGGGGCGCGCGCGAAGCACTGTAGGCCATCTGAACAAACAAAAGCACGTGATCCGACGGGAACGTGAGATCGCGGGCATGTCCGTTGACTCCAGCACGCGCGCGCCAATCG